CGGGGCGGCGGGGGGGGGGAGGGGGACGCCTGGAGCCCCCCTGCTGCCGGCGCCCACCCCTCGCCGGGGTCCCCTGGGCACAGACACAGACAGAGCGAAGCATGTAGGAAAAGAGCAAAAAGGAGCTACCTTGGCCACTCTAGCAGTTGAGGCGCCAGCTGCCGGGCTGGGGCTGGGGCTGGGGCGGTGGCGCTGCCTGCCCGCCGCGGTACTCTCCTCGACTACGCGTATTCTTAAGCAATAACAACGTAATCCGTATTATCCACCCAAGAATACCCGTCACCGAAGAGAGTCAGAAAGCTGCTGCTGCCGCTGCCGCTGGAGTGCTGCACCGGGCCAGTAAATCCATAACTGTATTTCCCCTAGAGCAGGCGGAGCATCCACAGGGTGACCGAGGGATCCCGTCCCCATGTCCAAGGGCTGCCCGATCTCCAGTCCTGGAAAGGCAAAGGAGAGAGGCAAGCGTTTAATCCACGCGCATGCAAGCCCTGGGAGTCCGGCTGGAGCGGGCAGGGTGGGAAGGAATGAAAGGCAAGCAATGGGGGTGGGGGTTACCTGGGGAGTCCCTGCTCTCTTCCTCTGTGCCTGTCTGGCGTCCTCTTCTCCCCAGCCCTCCGCTCCGGGCGCTGGGAAGGGCTGGCGCTGGCAAGCAACAGATTCCTGCGAAAGAGACGCACGGTTAAGAGCACAGATATTGCCCATCCCTTGGCTTAGGTGGGTCGGGGTAGCTCAGATAAAGAGGCAGCCACGCCTGAGAGAACCGCATCCGTGCACTTGGAAAGGGGATGGCGGGGTGGGGGCCTCAACGGGCCATTAAAAAAAAAATCAAAATAAAAGAGAACCGAAGGCTGGGAGCACGCCTCTGCCTCAGGCCTCTCTGGTGATAGAAAATCTAAAAAGTGAAGAAAAAACCCAACTGCAGGGTGTAAAACCATTCGAGTTCATCTCCCACATGCGCCCGAAAACAGGAGAGTGGCTGGAGCTCCCGGAGTCCACAAGCTGGTTCCGCTTAAATGAGCTGGGCAGCGTTTGGTAGTGTCCTAACGCGTGATAGCACAGCACAGGCACGGCTCTAGCACGCACTTTCCCCGCGTCTGCTGTGCCACTGGCGAGAGCACCTCCATAGTGACACCTCATCCTCCTCGCATTCCTGCAAAGGTTTTTCACAGGCGGTGGCCAAAAAGAAAAAAAAAAAGTTATTTCCAAATGGTGATTGTGCCTGTCAGGCAGAGGAGTTCAGTCAGTGTTCTCTTATCAACATGGCTCTGACTTGGATGGGGGGAGCTTTGTCTCATGATCTTGCTGCTGTTACTGTGATAATAAAGATTTATTGTTCGCCAACTAAATAGAAAGGATATCTGCAGCGTCATGGCACAATACAGTCAGCGGTTCAATTAGGAAGTTCTCCTAACATTAAGAAGAGCGTCCATACGAGTGGCAAGGGGAGGAAGGAAACATGGCAATACCCAGTTAAAATCTGCAAACTGTGGGGTGCTCTGCACTTCTCCAGCCACGAGTCATTCTGCAGCATGCGCGGCTCCCAGTACCAGTGTGCTCTGGAACTGACCAGCTTGTTGATCGCAACTGAAATTAATACAAGGTGTTTGCATTTATTCCAGATTCCTTCCTCAGCATTAGCTCTCAGCTTCCCTCACATCGAGTCACTCTGCTTCCTACAGACACACGCAAGAGGAGAGCATTTGTGTGTGTCTGTGTGTATTGTTACCCGGACTGTTTCCTGAATAAACAAAGAGAAATTCTTTGGTAGCTACATTAGCTTAAATAAAAACGACGGTTCCAGCTCCTTCTCCTGCATTTCAACCTCTTCCTTGGCGGAATTTTCCCTACACCTCGCACACAGGAGGCTCCGAGGAATGGCAACTCGAAAGTAAATAACAAACACTGTTTTTTCCCCTACTGCAACATTTAAGGCTACACCGCTGGTCTCTCTGGCTGAGGCTGTGGGTTTCCTTCAACTCGGAACAAAAAAGCCGCTTGAGAAAGTCAAATGCACCGATTCACAGAGAAAACAGTTCGCGGAGTTAAATCTCGACTCAGATTCTTTGAAATGTGAATAAAGAGAAATCCGAGATCCTCATCTCCACACACGCATCAAGAATGAGACTCATCTCCAGCCTCCCCC